AGCTTTTTTTCCAGAAGTAAGTAAAACAACCTTCCCTCTCCCCTCCCTACACAGTAACACTCTGTATGTCTTAAGAATATAAATGAAATATAAAAGAATATAAATTTCCATCATGAGGAAAATCACAGAATATTCATATATTTATCTAACATTGCAAACTCATTGTTCATTCAAAGAAATGTTTTGCTGATTTCTCAGGAGTAAGAAAAAGTAATTTAATCTCTGAGGTACTAGAGAAGCTGTGCTCCTCCTGTCCACAGAGGCTCAAAGCCCAACCCTATACAGAGCAGGCAAACACTGGATTTCATGCTGTTTGACATGACAGATAGCAAAATAAACAGGAAAAGCTGTAGCAGTGTGACAATAAGTTACATAACCTTCAAAAGCTGGAAAGAGGAGAACTAAAGATACTATAGAGCTTTTGAAAATACCTTGCTGTTATGAAGACAAGTCAAAATACAAAGAACTCATCACACTTTTTATACAAAAAAAAAAATAAATTAAATGCAAAGTACCCATCAAAGTGTTTTGGTTGCCCTACACTGGAAGTTAAAAAGGTAATTTTTTCTTGTGCAGGCAGAGAAATTTTCTTTGGAAAATAGTTGGCATTTTTAACCTAGCCTATTATTTGGCTTGCTTAAATCTAAATTTATAAGAAGAAAATCAAGTCTCCCATTCAGAGATAAATGTGTGTTGGAACACATAGTATGACTGGGCCACCGAGTTTAAACAAATTCTCCTTATTTTTCAGAAGTACTAAGTGTGAAAGGAAATTAGTTCAGTATCATTTTTAGCTGCTTGTGACATTTCAAAGGTCATTTCTGCTCCTCATCCTGCCAAATATATCATGCAGTATAAGTACCACAAAAACCACAAACAACATCCACAATACTTCCTGGGTTGAGTCACATGAAAGTTTAAAAACATATAAATCTAGATAACCCCTAAGGTGTGGTTTTTCTCCTTAACAGCAGAGTTAACACGGTGATTAATACACATTTCTCTAAAATAAATGAAATAGCACGTCACTAACATGAGTCAGACTCACCGAGACAAGCCTGTGAGGTTGAGTGAGGCCACCTTGTCTTGCAGCATAAACAAACTGTGTAGGACCCTAGAAAGGCAGTAGTGCCTACAGATGGGTGCTTGCTCCCTCATTCTCCTACAAATGCCTACAATTAACCCATCAGCATAACTGGGACACTCAAAATGAAACAGCTTCCTGCTTTTAGCCCCATCTGAGGAAAGCAAAGGAGAAAAAAATGCCGGGGCTGTGATTGGCGTTTAAGCCACGATGGCTAAATTTTGGCTAAAATCCCAATGGGCTGCAGACGGGGTGGAGTTGGTAAAGCATCAGCTTCTGCTGACCCAGCCTCTGTGCAGCTGCACCATGGCACACAGCAGAGGAGAGATCCTCCCCCACCTCCCTTTCTGAGGGTCTGAAAAATTAATTGCAATTATTCAAGGTGGTAGAGAGCTTATTGATTACCTGGGGGGCAGAGGCAAAATGGAAATGCTATCAGGCTGTGTAACTAAAACTATGCAGAGAGAAGCAGCATTATGTCAGCATTCACAGCTTTAACTTCAGTGATCCCTGATTTCAGCCTGCATCAGCACTCAGTCTTATTATTATAATGTAATGCTGTCTATGGGTTAATAAAAAGTAACCATGGCTATGGAAAGGGACCTCATGAGATTTCAAGCAGCGAGGATGACGAGATCCTCTCTCAGCCCTTCCCAGTAAACAGCAATGCTTTTCCATCCTTCAGAGAAACCCCAAACACAGTTGAACATAAGCAGCCTGGGAGAAACCCATGGAAAGTGAAAAAATCTGGTGCCTGTATTCAGCAGCAAATGTGAGAAGCCTGAAGGCAGACAAACAGTGGGAGCTTAGGTGCACCATAGTAAATGCAGGGGCTGCCTCCAACAGTAGAGGTGCTTGTTGTTTCTTTCTGCTTCCCCTGCCACCTTTTTCTTGTAGGCTACCATCTGTAGCCCCTTCTGCTTCACTGCAAATCCAGATACTCTGGGTAGGGGCTGTCTTTGTGCAACGTGTTTTGGGTGTGGGGCTTTCTCAGGGCATGTGAGAGCCTTCAATGCAACGAGGACCACATGGCTCAACCCAGCCAGATCCCTATGGGAGGCTGCTCCTGGGATCAGCCTTCAAGGAGAGATGCATACACAGGTCCAACAGCAATTTCTTGCTCCCAAACACCACAGAGCTCCCAAACACCGGTCAGACCCTCCTTCATGGAAGACTAGCAGCACCCAGAAATCCCCACTGCATCCGGGAAAAGGCTCTTATTCGGAAGTGGTGTCTCAATACAGTTGTAATCAAGGTAATAAACACAGGTGATGTGCAGAAGGGCTGTGCTATCCAAGTGTCCAATTAAATCTCTGCTTAGGGTTTACCAACCACTTTCAAGTAAGCACCTGCAAGTGTGCTGCAGATAATAATTCTGCAGCTTGGTTAGCAGAAAAGTTGTGACCACGAAAAGGATCCTGAGCAGGTGCTCCCAAAAAAGTGAGAAAATATGCAATGGATACAACTGATTTAGTCATACATGGGCAGGTACTCACATCTTCCTTCCTTTTCTCTCTTTTTTTTTTAACTTCTGATGAGACATAGAACCAATTTCCTAATTACTCACATGATTAGTAAACATTCCATAGCTCATCCATTAAGATTGGGGTGCTAAATGCACCATCATAGCCAAGTTCTTGTCTGGGCAATATGATCTAACTCTTTAAAAGCTCTTTCCTGTATCAGCTGGATGAGATACTTCTTCCCCTTCTGTAATGGATTAGCTGCAGTTAGCAACTGCTGAGAGTGACCCTTCCCATCACTTCTAATTGTAATTAGCTGATTGTGGAAGGGAGGCTTTAAAGAAACATGATGAAAAATGTGCCTTACAAGGAGAGATTTAGATCTTTTCACTGAACCCTGAAAAAATATCTCAAACTGTTGAAAAGTTTTTGCTATTTCAATCTTCTTTTCCTTTGTTGTCTTAAATTTATGTTTTGTTCGGAAGCAAGCCTAAATCGAAAGCAGCAAGCAATCCAAAACCACTGCTACCAAGTAGAAAAATTTTGATCCCTCTCCTTCTGCCTTTTGGGGATTTTGACTTATGGAACTGAACATTTTATTTGCTTATGACTCTAGGTCTCACAAACAGTTAGTTACAGAGATGAAAAAAATAAAGGAATTCAGCTGTCCTGAATCTCCTTCAGAAAAAGACTTTTAGAAAATACAGCTCCTGCTGCCAGACAGGACTCTCCTTGGCACTCCCAACAACACAACTACTTTCCTGACAGCCTTGGCATTTAATCTCAGATTCTCAAAAAATTTCTAGCTGGAATGGAGAAAAACAAAGCCTTATTTTAAAACATATACCGTAGCCTTCCTATCTGACGCTCTACAAAAACACGTTCTCAGAACAAAAAGCCAAAGTCTTCTAACATTTTTCAGTCTAACATCACTTATTTGTTAGTATCCAATATTTATTTCATACAAAGACTGTAATAGTTGACCTCCATGTATTCTGCAATCAGCAATTTTCCATTCTCTGTACTTCATTTTCAAAACGAGCGAGTGCTGCTGTTAATAGAATATTCAATCAGTCCAGTGTTACCATTCAGGGTAACACTGGTTCACTTTACCAATCTGTCCCCAGGTACATCTGCAGGACCCACAGCCAGAGACTCTTCTGGAGCAGGTGTATTAGTCTCAGCACCACACTCCCAAAAAATGGCTGGGCTGCATTCAGAGCCACGTTGGAAGTTCACGCTGGCTGGAAGGTCTGCTAGCTTGGATATCTCTATTCCAGCCTCCAGCTCACCAGGGAGATGCCTGGGGTTAGTGAGTCCCTCCTAAGGTAGTAGGGCTGTGGGGCTGCAGGTGTTCATCCACAGGAATAAAGTTATGGGTTCATATTGATGTCCATCTGCAACAAAAAAGTCGGAACGTGGAACTTTCACTACAGGGCACAAACACAGTCATTTAACACAAACCAGTCTATTTGCTGGCAAAACAACACAGTGTAGCCTTCACTTAATTCACTGTAACTTTGGATTTCAAAGAAGTTCTTTATTAAAACAGAAGACATTGCAGAAAAAACTCTATTACGTGAAGGATTCCTGCTGGGGAAATTCTCCAAACATAATAGATTTCTCTAAAGCATTTTGAAGCATCAGGGATATCTTGGAAAGGTTTTATAATTCTGTTTTGATTCCACTGGCTCTTATAAACAATACATTTCCTGTACACTCGACACTTGTCATTAAAGGATCCCCCTTCTTTCTGAGTTTGCATTACAATTCATCCTCTTCTAAGCAAATCACCGCAGGCCAGATGTCTTCAGCAAAGCTTAAAAACATTAATATGCATCCTACCTTTCCTTTCCCTTTTATGATCTGCCTTCATTCTGACAGGACTGGGGATTTATGGCCAACAGAAGTTTACACATCACAGTTCACAGAATGCAGCAGAAGCAAAACTCTAAAGCAGAGGCTGAAGCAAGAGCACGGCCCCATTTGCTTCTCCTTGGCCTGTGGTGATGTAACTAGGATATGGGCACAACACAGCCTTCCAGGATAGAAGAGAGAGAAAAATTAAGAGAGTTATGAGGTTTCAGGAGCCCAATTCTAAAAACACCCTACAGTCTGATTGGAGCATATCATACACAACATAACATACAGCTGCAAATGGTACAGCATACATCTGATGTCTTTGCTCTGAAATAAGGCAAGAAATATTCCAAATCCCAGAGAGAATCTCAATACAAATATCATGGTTGAAACTAGCCAGAGAGAATAGAAAGAAGAACACCAAGTAATTCTGAGGCTCTCAATTATTTTAGAAGGAGGTTTTCCAGTTCATTCTCATTTTGTCCCACATGCTTGTAAGTCCAAAACACTTACTTGAAGTACATGTTTTTCACAACACATTGCAATGGATAGTTTCAGCATCACTAATTTCATTTAGCATAACCTACAACCTCTATGTTCTTTGAGGAATGATGTGTTAAAAAAAAAAAAAGAAGCCTTGAAGCTCCTCAAGGTGGAGAAATCCAGTATTACATTTAGATTAAAATATAGTGTTGGAAATATAGTTCTTCCCTTCTTGCACACACCCTTTCCCATTTCCAGCTGCATCTGAAATAAGAGCAAAAAATAAATCCACTTAATTAATATTTCTCAAATATAGAAGGTATATGCCATATATTGTTATAAGACTTTCATCTAAGAAAAATAATGGACTTGGAAGTTGTGCAGAACTTTTTACAGGAGTGAGAGCTAATTCAGAAAGAAATGAGACATGCTGCTTTTACTGCCAACATGGCAGAATAAGGATGAGTTTCTCAGCTTTTCCAGCCCTCCTTGGACTATATAACATTAGGCTGTCACCCATAGGGCAGAATAGGACAAATTTCTACCTTAATTTTTCCTAAAAGAGCCATGTGTATGTAATACTGCAAGAACTTCTTGGTTGCTTTTATAGTGCTCACTGACAGAGATGGCACTGATCACCTTTGCAGCTCAGCTTTTTTTCCCACCAGCAGCTCTCCTGCTGCAGCTGACCACTTGTCATCCTGCATCCAGGCAACACGCTCTGCAAGCTTTCCATCTGCTTCATTTGCTCATTTCAGAAGAAAAATCTTGTCTATAAAACACTTGCCAAGCAATATGGATTTTTATGCCACATTCCAGACCTTCAGCTGAAAGAAGTCATAGAATCATAGAATGGTTTGGGTTGGAAGGGACATTAAAGATCATCTAGTTCCAAAACCCTCCTGCCACAGTCAGGGACACCTTCCACTAGACCAGGTTGCTCAGATCCCCATCCAGAGATGGGGAGTCCACAGCTTCTCTGGGCAACCTGTTTCAGTGTCTCACCACCCTCACAGTAAAGAGTTTCTTCCTTATATGTAATCTAACCCTACCCTCTCACAGTTTAAAGCCATTCCCTCATGCCCTGTTACTACATGCCCTTGTAAAAAGTCCCTTTTCAGCTTTCCTGTAGGCCCCTCTAGGTACTGGAAGGTGCTGTAAGGTCTCCCTGGAGACTTTTCTTCTCCAGGCTGAACAACCTCAATTCTCCCAGCTTGTCTTCATAGAAGGCAGAGTTTCAGTGAAATCAACACATTATGTGTATTTATTAATTTCTCTGTACACCCCAAGGAGGGAATGCAGCCTTCTGAAAAGCAGCAGGATACTATACACTGCATCTTCTAATGTCTCTCTCAAGTGAACCCAGCACTTGCACAAACTGAACACAAACTAATTCAGTGGTGCCCAATTCTTGAATCTGGAGTGTTTAGATGCATCATCATCCTCTTATTTTGGCTTCTTTGTAGGCATGAACACATACATAACAGGTTTTATATTTATATATATATGTGTGTGTGTATGTGTGTATAGTGTACCAGTGAAGCATTTTCTTTTGGTTTATAACAATTTTATTTTACTGTTCATTCTTGTATTTCATTCACAGGAATGAAGGCATAGAACTAATGTGTGCACTACAATCAGAATGTATGACTAGTGAAAGAAACTATGAAGAAACAGAAACAATTATTTAATATCTGCATTTAAATACAATATCACTGAATAAACATACATATCAGCTAAACTCACTCTTTGTTGAAGTATAGGTTCCCCTTGAACATAATTTTTAAAAATGATCAGTGACTGCACTCAACCAGAGACCTGCCAATAACTGGGAAATTCTCTTCTGGTGTAACTCACCTGAGGCCAAAATTCTCTGCAAGTATAAGCCAGGGAAATAAATGAAGCTACTGAGAAACATACACTGCAAAAGAGAGTGGTGAGTGACTCCAAATAGTTGAAACTATAAAGAGAAATTTAGCTGGATCACCAAGACTGTTGTCTGAAAGGTGGTTGTAGGCAGGTGGGGGTCAGTCTCTTCTCCCAAGCAACAAGTCTCTCGTCCCAAGGACAAGAAGAAATAGCCTCAAGTTGTGCCAGGGGAGGTTTAGACTGGATATTAGGAAAAATTCCTTCATGGAAAGGGTTCTCAAGCCCTGGAATGGGCTGCCCAGGGAAGTGGTGGAGTCACCATCCCTGGGGGGATTTAAAAACCATTCAGATATGGCACTTGGGGACATGGCTTAGTGGTGGGCTTGTCAGTGCTGGGTAATGGTTGGGCTCAATGACCTTAAAGGTCTTTTTCCAGCCTGACTGATTGAATGATTCCATGATTAATGAATTCCTCTCTCTTAAATCAGTGAAACGGGCATTTTTATAACAGGAAGAGTGTTTTAATTATCAGCTTCTCAAAGCAGCGCTACATTTTGCGTTTGAAGAATATAACCACGCATTCGTGCTGGCTAATGCCCCGCCCTCGGGCTGTACCAGGGCACATTCCCATCCCACTTCCACGCTTGTGCCCGTGTCCCCCTCACCGGGCAGGCTGCCGTGGCCCCTCCAGCTCCTCACCAAAGCGACCTGCAGGTGGCAATGTTGGATCGGTTTTTAAGGATTGGGTTACACACGGGAGCCTGAAGATGTAACACAATCGTCTTCTCATTGCTCGTATTTCCCGTTTCATAGATCACTTGTTTATTTTCAGCCTACACTGGGCATTCGCCGTAAGATACTTTCCAGCGTCGAATTAACTTTTTTTTGCTGATACTTGTGTTTAATTGCCCCCCATTTACAGGTTTCCTACATGTGTTTTCTGGACTGATAAAGTTTTTGGAATAATTAGATTTCATTATATTCTCTGCTTGATACTTTCTGTGGTCTCTACTTGGCCGACCTTGACAGGCTCAGAGGAGGTGTAAATAAATATTCCAGGCTCAGTACATTTAAGACTCCTTTGGGCAAAGGATTTATTTCAGAAGCCTCGATATTTTAAGTACTGCTACAAGTAAGCAAGAGTTTTCATAATTTCTCTTCCTTTTCTTTTTTTCTCCACAAATGAGCAGCTGGAGGATACTAATTCCCTCTAAATCTCATCAACCCATAACTTAGCACGAGCTGCATATGGGTTTAGCCTTCTACATCATCATGACAATCAAAGGTACAGAAATTAAATGACAAATGCAGCACAGTGGCCGCGTGCACACCTTATCACACCATAGCAACTGATCCTCACCCAGGGACTCCAGAGCCTTTTGAACCCACAGAATAGGGCAGAGGAAGCACCAAGGTCATCTTGTCTGGGCTGCTCCTCCTTCTTCTCCCTCCTAACCACACGAAAAACACAGTTAAGGGAGTAAATACAGCTAAGAGAGTAAAAAATACAGTTAAGAGGCAGCAGCCTCTCCTGTGGCTTGGTATTCTGGTGTAGAAGGGGTGGGAATGAAGTGGCAGCTTCATGGGACAGTGCTTGGATGTGGCTCCAAGGGCTGGGAAGGCAGGGGTAAGCAACTCAGCCATGCCTGTGGTGGGGACCAAATTGCTAAAGGGGCATGAAAGAAGGTGGAAAGGAAATGTTTCTTCCTCTAAAAGTCTGTAGGTGGGACTCTGAGAACAGCAGCAAGAGATGGTAACAGTGTGAATACCTGCATAAATGTTAGTGACATATTGTAATACGGAGTATACAGCCAGGAGGTGGAAAGGAACTTTTGCTCAGCTGCAGCATCTCCACTGGAAGCCAAAAAGATCTTACACATCTCAGGATCCCAGCTCTCTTGCTTAGCTAGGTGAGAGAAAGAAATTTTTCACCTTCTTTAGCAGAAGCACTGGAGAGAAACCAGCACTCACAGCTTGTAATTAACTACTGCAGGGAGCAAAAGATTATTTTAAAATCTCTTAGCCCCTCTTCAAATTTCCTTAAACCTAATATCACACGTGCAATGAAGAGCATTATTTTACATCGCTGGATTAACCTGCACATGTTCTGGGACTGGCGAAAGGATACACTGCATCTTCTGCATTTTGGTTACTCTGAATCTATTTTAAACTGTCTTAAAGATACTATTTCTTGATAGCCTCCCAGTGGTTTACCAGTGTACCCCAGTAAGGTCCATATCCAGTTCCAAAAAGGGTGAGGAAAAAAACCAAACCACTACAGTTATCTTTCTATCAAAGATTTAAAAGCTTTTGAGGAACAGAAGTAAGCCCCAAAAGGTGCTAGCAGTTGTGAGGGGAACTAATCCCATCCAAATTTAAGTATCAAATTTAAGAACCTAGGTACAGCAGGATTCTTCTACAGTCATTGGCGAGAATTAGCGCTTTTGGACGAAATTCAGATGTTAAACTTTCTACAAAGACTGTATCAGAGCTGAGCAATGACTATACTTCTAACTCAGGCATCTGAGGTATCAGGAATTCCTGATTTCTGAATTCTTGATACCCTATTTTTATAGAAAAATAATCACATAGCTTCTATGATTTTTTTCTTTTCACATTAATTTGGGTGACCTTGGGAAAAGTAGTACAGAAACATTAATAACCATACTAGTAATCACAGATTATGCTTCAGCTGAATGCAGCATGGATCAGAAAAAAAAAATAAATTGTGTAGCTTATTTCAGATAGAGAAATTATCTACTGTGAATATTGCTATCCCATAGGAGAATATGCCAACATTTGAACCTTTGTTTCACACACTCTACTAGGAGCAGGGCTGTGATCAAGAAAAAAAACTTAACAGCAATCCTACCCTCAGAAATACTCTGGAGAACTTGCTGCTGAGAAACCCCATCCTGAAGGCTGCCAGAAGCTCTAATCAGCTAATATATCAAAGCTTTAGTGTAGCCTGTCTGCTCCCCCGATCCCAGCAAGAGTTAAAATAATTCTCAGGGGTCAATCTAAGAATAAGCAGGAAAATATGCATTACTACACTCTGCAAGACTGTGAATGGATGACGGTGATCAAGTCCATGCTTTGATGCTGCATCCAAAACATTCTTAGGCATATTTCAGATTCTGAATTTCTGTGAATTTAGCCTCGGCACAGCAAGCCAGAGGTTCATAGAGGCATGTGGCTTGCTCACATGCTTTGTGCCAGGCAGGCATGCTCACATTTTTTTGCCTTTGTTGGCATCCAAACAGGGTAAACTGTCACTTTAACAAAGCAGTTAATTTATCATGGATGTAGAGGGTAAACTAGATTTTTACAGTCAGGAGACATTTCTTCCTCTTTCCATTACAAGCCTTCAAAAGCTCACACGGTTCCGGCCAAGG